TCCTGATATGTAAAACCATAGAACTCAAAGAGGGCATACTTCCTTTTTCACACGACTGTAAGTCCCTCCTTTTATATACAGACAAGGATGGACCCCTGCTTTGTCAAACTTTAATGCAGAAAAAATGAAGATTTTCAACTGTCTCTTGCTTGCTCCAAAGGTCTTCACCTACTTGTTGCTCTCCAAATACCTCAGGAGTGGAACTGAGAATCCTCACCCACAAATGAATGGCCTCAAGCTGGGGAAAACCAAAGGAGAATATTTTACATTTGATATAACTGGGTATTATAAGGGACATAGCAAAGATCCAGTGGAGTATTCTGTCTTAGGAGAAGTACTGAGCAGAACCTGAGACAGGAAGGGGAGGAAAAATGAAGGAAATTTGGAATGGGGAAGGTTTTGAGGTGGACTTTAAAAAAACCAAAAAACAGATTTCTGAAGAAACTTGATTCCAAAAGCAGCCCAATGACAAAACTTTGCATTGAGCAATCCAAATGAGTTGCCAGTTCCTTTTGCCTTTTATAGACGTGACTCATCTTGCAATAAACAGTGAAAACTGTCCCAAAACATATTTTGGTTTCTTTAACAGAAGCAGAGTTGTTTGTTGAGAGAGATCAATACACCAGCCGGTGTTTGAGGGCTGTGTGGTATATAAAACCATAGACACTGCAGAAAGCTTCAAAAGTGCACATGCACACAAGTAAACTTTGTGTTTTCAGGGAGTTATTCAGGAAAATTGCTGTAGAAACCTCTTTGAAAACACAGCGTCATTGTTTGTGGCATCAGGCAAATGCCCTGTGCAAATATGAGCCATGAACTTCACACACCCAGAGTTTGGATTCAAAAATTCTTCTCTCTACGTTCTTTCTATTACAAAGAAGCAGTTTTATCAACCATATAATATAAATTATATCACCATCATAAACCTTGCCCTGTATTCATTCCATAAGACATACAAACAGGGGCTGATGCTCACAACCAGCCTAGAAAATATAAAAAACAAAGAATCTTGCAGCACCTTAACAACAAACATTTTTAATAGAATGTACTATGGTCTCCCAATGTGGCCTCCCTAGATTCAATATGCCTGTAAACACCTCCCTTGATGCACATCAGATTCCATGTTCTGCTTTATTTTAATTCAGAAAGAGAGAGAGAGAAATGGGAAGCTGGGTCTCTGTGAAGCAATGCTTCAATATCAACCGTCAACTTTATTTTGAATAAGGTCCCTGAGTCCCACACACCACCTAGTGAACTTCTTAGAAAATAAAAACCGTATGTGATGCAGCCCAGAGCTGTTTTGGGAATAGTGCCCTCCAATCCTGAGAAAAGACAAATAGCAGCTGAGAAGGGAGATAGCATTCTTGAGAGAAAGCAGCTTCCTCACAAGTCTGTCTTTTGGGAAATGGGCATTTTGTGATGGGCATTTTGTGAAGTGCATGTTCTCAAAATTCCAAATGTGTTGACCCATGCAAAATCCAGGCATCAGTTTCTATGAAGCAGAGTCTGCTTCATCAGATGTGAGATAAATTGGGCAAATGATTGACCAACGTCTCCTAGCAAGCTTCATGGTTGAGTGAGAATTTAAAGTTCACCTCTTCATGAAACAAGCTGCAAGTTCTATTAATGAAAATGAAGGAATAGTGAAAAAAGTGGGACTAATATTAAATATGCAGAAGCAACCAGCCTTAGAAGTAACACCGGAGATATTGAAGTGGTGGACAGCTTTTGCCTTTTGGATTGATTATCAGCAGTAAAAGAACCAGCAAGCAAAAAATACACTTCAGACTTGCCCATGGTAGGGTAGCAACGAAAGCCTTGGAAAAGAGATTCAGATGCCACGATGGCGCCAAAAATCAGAATTGGGAAGGCAATGGTTTTCCTTCTATGGAAGTGAAAGTTGAAGATATAGGATGAAAAGAGTATTGGTGCTTTTGTACTTTGGTATTGGAGAAGACTGCTGAAAATATCATGAAGCCAAGAAAACAAAGGGATCATAGAACATATCAGTCCAGAGCTGTCACTCAAGACAAGTTCAAATGGTCATATTCCTGACACATTATTTGAACACCTAGCTCTCTTGAGAAGTCCCTGATGCTGGGAAAGGTGGAAGGAAAGAGAAGAGAATAACTAGCAACAAAGAGGATGGACTTGATTACTAAACTGACATGTGCACTGTTGAAAGACCTGAAGAGTCAGGTTGGGGACAGATCATCCTGGAGAAGGTCTATCGATGTGCTCACTAAGAGTCAACACTGACTCAATGGCACATAATCACTTAGTCAAAATCCTAATGCAATTCTACTCCCATTCCCACATTTATTTTTTTCTATCAAATTGGTTGCTAAACCCTGAATTATTGGCAGGAGTCTCGGCAGGGAGGGTGTCAAAAAGATGAAGATGGCAGCCATGACTACATAATTATATCCTACTCAGTTTTTACATGCATCATGTAAATAGGGAGAGGGTTTCAACCATGCAGTTGTGGATGCCATCTCGACTCTTTTGACAACCCCCGAGACCCATGCCAACAATTCAGGGTTTTTCCTGCTCTATCTAAATCCAAATGTTCTGTCCTAGACATCACACTACCTTTTCCTCATGCATTAAGAAGAAAGCAAGGCTCTCTGAGTGAGGTGGAAGGTGACTAAATTTGAAATATAAATAAATAATTCTGTATGTCTG